CAACTGAAATATCAGCAGTACGTTTAAGAGCACTTAACTGAGCTTAAAACAGTAGACCAGAGAGAGACTGCTGGTCCCATGTGCGTGACCAGTGGTGACATATGACATTGGTGTGTGTGTGTGTGTGTGTGTGTGTGTGTGTGTGTGTGTGTGTGTGTGTGTGTGTGTGTGTGTGTGTGTGTGTGTGTGTGTTAAAGAGGGAGACCCCCACTGGGTACTGTGGGATTAAGGAGGAGTCAGGGGCTCTAATGCTGGCTCCAGGACACAGGCATCTTTTGTCCTGCTTCTCTGTCATTTGGCATCTGATTACAACAAACTGGTATCACTGCTGCTTCTATATTGGAAATATGGACCAAATAACACAGAACACACCAGTGTGCTCCCGCAGGGCTACAGAGCACCTCTCCAGTCAGCCCTGTGTCTGGCTGTCCTATCAAAGAACAAATCAGAGCCAGCTGAAAGGCGACCTGCAACAACAGCGCTGACCTATGTCTGATTTCATAAAGCTTGTCACAGGCCTCATACACATCATGCAGGGAGATTAATTCACGCTCCCACTGCAGTGTTTGCAGCACAGTAGATCCTCTCCAACGAAATCACAGGCTGGCTGAATGTTGTGGAGTTCAGATGCAGGACACGGTAAGTACAAGATTAGAAAAGGTTGGCACAGAATCTGAGCAAGAAAAGATAGAAAAAACATGTAGCGCTGTTTTGGATTGATGAAATAAATCATGTTTATTTGGCTAGACTTCAGTAATATTACATGAGCTTAAAGCTGTGTCGTTTGCTGTCCGATCAATAGCAATGTGGTAAAGCAAGTAAGGTCACATCGAGAGAAATTAGTCTAGTGTGTGTTTGAAAAAGCTTTAGCCGTGTGAAATAAATGCAGCCCCCTTATCGATTTGAATAGGGACACAGTGAGGGAGCCAATACAGCGGTTGCAGCAGGCAAACGCAGGGCCATCCTAAATAAAAACATAACTCAACTTTAGGTAGAACTTCATCAGACGTGACTCGCTAAGTGCTGCCTTGGCCAATCAAATATGTGCAGGGGCAGATTACTTCGTAACATTAACTTTTAATACTACCGTTTTCATTCGTTTGTGACGCTACATAAAATGATTGCAGCAGTGAATATTCCTGATCAGTAAAATCATTCCTCGTAATATTTGTATCAACTGCAGTGAAAAACTCTCTTTGGCTCTCTGATACAAACTGGTTCCCACCGGTTTCTGAAAAAACACCCTGCCATCGACATTAGCGTCTTACATTATTGTAACGCAGGTCTGGTGTCAGTGTAATTGGTCACTAGGTCCGTACAAAGACCAGTGAGGATTGAAATGTGATTTTGTATTTTACTGAATAAAAGAAAACAGAATAATAACTGTTTTTCTTCCATAGGCAACATAGCAACGCCTGTCATTCATCCTACTGTGTTAGCCTGATAAAGGGCATATAGTATGCTGTCTGTCACTGGAGAGCTCACGGTGTACGTGCTGTGATGTCGACGATGAACCCACCTATATAAAGTCTGACACTAAACAAAATAAACAAAGGGAAGCAACAGCAGCTCAATACAAGCGCCTGGGCTCAACCTCAGTATGTCATAGCATCAGGTATCGGAGCTTATTGTAATATCTTCACTAATTAGATTCAGTCATCTGCCCTTCCATGCTCAAACACTGGAGAGGAAATCTGACACTGAAGGGTGTGGGGAGAGAACTGGGGGGAGGGGGAGATGGGCCAGGGGGAGGAGAGGGAAAAAGAGATGCACACCACACCTCTCCTCTTCAAAAACATCTACATTATTGATAAAGCCTGACTTCTGCAGGGAGGGACCACAGCACACTGATCCTCCATAGCTCCAGCGTGAGCAACGCAGACAGCACCTTGGCAGCTCCTCTGAATCCGCTGATCTTAAGAGCAAATACTCTAGTGCGAGATTAAGCATCAGCAGCACACAAGGCGACGGCAATGAGACGTAATGAAAGCAAACGCAGAAAGCAGGAAGAGAAGGGGTGAAAGAGGGAGCAGTTAGGAAAAAGGTGTCTATATTAAAAAAAAAAAGATAAAATGGTGAGTCTGTCACAAGCTGGGATGGGTGGGTAGCAGCAGAACAACAAACCAGCAAAATAAAAGGCTGATATTAAATGAAGGGCTACAATGAGAAAGCAGTAGTACTCGTGACACAGTTAGCGACAGCGCTTGTTTGTTCGGCAAAGCCATGCCGCGGCAGGCTCGGCTCACTCACTCAGCTCCCCTCACTACAAATCTTCTGCTGTTGTCAAGGTAACAAGCTCTCTGGACTAAAAAAAAAAAAAATCACATTCAAAAGATGTTTTTTCAAATGCTGGCCTCAACCTGAAACTTGCATGTGTTCTCGATATACAGCCTGTGCCTGTTAAACATTCCCAGCACAAAACATTAAGAGTGTTTTCTCTGATGTGCCTGGAATGGAAATGAAAGATAGCAATAACAATAGTGGTTGAACAATCATAGTAATGCTTCATAACCATTAATCAATTCTAAATTCAATTAATCCATGGCCTCATCAAATAGACAAAAGCTCAACCAAAAGCTGCCTCTGTTCTAAATACAATCCTGGCTTAATGGGTGAAACGTTAATGGGATTATGTCCAGTTTATGATCACAAGGAATAATATATACAAATAAAAGTTATACATCGAAAAGCATGCATGCTGTTCTCATATATAATGACTAAAACCTTGGCTGGGTAAAAAAATTGAGCAACCTAGCATTATGTGTAATGTGTTATGGGTTAAGGGCTAAGTCTGTTATGTTTTGACAAAGTCCAATTTAAAGAGTATACACTGAAATGTTTCCACTCGCTGAACAAGTAATACAAAAAAAGTGTTGCAAAAAGTGTTGCACTAACAATATAGTTGCCAAATATATTGCTAAATACATATCATACAGCTTTAGAACACAGTGCAAATAAGATCATGGTACTATACTTTGAATGGATATCACCACCAGTGTTGGAAGTACGGTAATGTAACGTAAGTAACGAAGTAATGTAATGCATTACTAATTACATTTGGGTAATATACTACCCGTTACAATTCTCAGTAACGCAGATAGAACTCATTTCAACCCGAAATGAAATGGTGTTTTGTTTTTTAAGAATTCACTAACATCGCGAGACATTTCGACACCAGAGAAATATTGTGCTGGTAGATTAGTAAACCTGGTATTTACGTAATCAGTCAGGCTGATCTTGATGAGCCTGAAGGGTGTTCTTTTCCCCATAATAACCAAGTCGCTGCACATTATCCCTCTTATTGCATGGCCAGATACTAATCAAACTAAGGAATCGACTCCCAATATTAATTGAAATGATTTTATTGACTTAAAATTATCGTATTTCTTCCGTTAAGAAAAAAAAGAACTCCGTTTCACGGCGCACCAACGGCTGGATATGCGACAACAACAACTTTACGGCAGCACTTTCCAACTCTGTTCACAGTTTCTGATCTTAAACACTGCAGAGCCCATACCGTGTTCCCGTTAGTGTTTACTTCTTGTCTGTCTTCTTCTGTTCATTTATCTGACGCCCAGCGCTCGTCTTTTACACTCTTTTACTCTCTCTTTCTTGATCCTCCTTAGCAACGGAATTGACCAATCAGAATCGAGTATTCAACTAAGCGTTGTAATAAAAGTTGTTAGTAGCCTTACGGCTCCTACACACGGCGGCGTGCGTTGTCGCTTGCCGGCGGGGGGGGGGCGGAAACTCGACCAACAACCAATCACATGAATCTCCCGGCCCAGACACACAAGCAAACCGTTTGATTGGCTAGAGCTTGCACTGGCATATGATTCGATTGGCTGACGCCTCCGTCGAGGCGGCAAAAGTAGAACATTGCTCTACTTTTGCAGCGAGCACCGCGAGAGAAGTTACGCTTTGCTCCCACAATGCAGTTCGGCGAATCGTGACGTCACCCCGTTCAAAGTGAATGGGCAGAAGCGTTAACGCACGCCGCCATNAATATAGTTAAAAAAAACCTAATATATATCGCAGGGGGAAAAAATATCGCAATGTCAGTTTTTTCCAATATCGTGCAGCCCTAATCCACATTGTATGTCTGCGTTGCACACTGTGAAACCACTTCACCTAGTTATTTGTTTTGCCCAGAAAGGAAGCAGTCTAAAAGAGAAGTAGAAAATAGGAGAACAGGAAATATATAGAAGACATTTTAGGCTGGCCTAGAGCTACCAATAATCTTTCCAGCATTTCACTGTGTTTGTCTGCTGAGGCCAGGAATAGTCACAGATCTTTGACTGGTCGACTAGAGTTAACCAGGCTCTGATCTTTAAAGTCCTCTTTTATACTAGAACCTTCTTTCCTATAAATACATCGACTTGTTTTTGTGCCCATCTTTTTTTTTATGCGTGTGTGTGCGTGGTTGCGTGTGTGCCTGTGTCACTCATACTCCCTGCAGTGATTCTTTTTATAGAAACAGCAGCCAGCAGTGTAATCTCTGGTGTGGATGTAGGACAGTGTTTTCTTCCTCCTCATTACTTATGCAAAGCCAGTTCTCACCCACAATCACTGCATATCCTGTTTGAATTGACTGTTTTCTTAGAAAAAGTTTAGCCCTTCAAAGATCATAGCAATGTTTATGCATGTTTTAGTGCAGGTGCTACACGTTATGTAAACCTGTTGTTACTGCTAGTCCTTTCATATAAACAGAAATATTCAGTTCCTAGATTTAAATGTAGGTTTTTTTAATCTTGAAATTGCTTTAAATAAAAATATTGTAATACATTCTAAAGTATCTTTAACAGATTGATATACGGAGCTTGTGAAACGAAATTCCTACTGGTTAATTAACTTGTGACACATGTGTTACCTATTTCTCTTGACATGGTACTAGAAAAATGTTTTGTGGATGGCGCTCAATGTCACTAGATCAGTAACTTGAATCTTTAACGTTGGAAGACTGTGTGTATGACCCCCCCCCCTCCGTGTTGAGCTTCTGCTGCAGGTCCCAAGGGCTCAGAGCTGCTTCTGGGACGCACTGCGGTCCATCTGGTTGCATCACAAACATTGTGTCCAGAAGTGTTAGCAGTGTAAGCTCAAGGCCCGATTATTTTGTTTTTTTTTGTAAACAGGAAGCATATCCTCTACCCAGTGGTTGGTTGCTTAGTTACGGAGTATCATCGTGCCTGTATAATAAAAGGTCCTGTTTGATATTTAGGATCTGCTTCTATCTTTTTGGCACACATTCTCAAATCAGTTGAATAATAGTTAAGAATGATTATTAAATACATAGTTTACCTGGACGATAGCTGCTAGCATATAAGAAGGTTGGCAATGCCTGTAATTTCCTATCCCACTTGAAGTCACGCAGTAATCAAGGCTGATGTCATTTCTTTGTGTCACATGATAGGGGCGTGACAAATCAGGGAAAGCTAAGGTGACTGATTAGACCCAATCAAGAAAGAAAAGTGGTTGTTGCTCGTTGTTTTTGAAGGCCCATGTTCCTTCCAATCCAGACTTAAGCATAACCCCTGGGTTCAGAAGCTTTTTCTAACTGTTTATGGGCCTGGAAATCGCTGAGTAAGTATGGACGCTAGGATAAATGTAGAAAAAGTTTAATATGGATTGTAGCCTTACATTAATGGTCTACTCTATGGTGTCGGAAAACCCTACCTGGAAGACAGGTTGTATTGGTGTAATTGAATGGCCTTCTGCATTAATATTGCCTTTTGGTTTTCCTGTCAAATGTTGGATATTAGAAACCCACCATTAATGTCTTAATAATGTATGCTGCAAATATTCATGTATTTTACCATAAGCATTTATTTAACTTATATTTGTCATAGGTTATGTTTTGGTTCGTATCACAATAGTTGTCCAAGGTTTACATTTTTCGGCCATGTGGCAAGACCGTTGAGCATTTGTGAAAGAAACGTTCCCTTGCAGAAAGGTTCAGAATGAAAAACTATTTAAAGCTACAGCTGTTCTATTATGGATGTTTTACCGATTTAATTATTAACTAAAAAAGGGCTAAATTTGGAGTCGTTGGTTGATGGAAAAATTGGTCCATCAGCCTAAAAATGAAAAATGATATATTTAAACTAAAAGATAATTGTTTTCTGATTTTCTCCAGTGATTAAAGCAAATGCTGTTATGATGCACAAACACATAAACACACTATATAGCTGCTTTGCACAAACACTCATTGTACATGCAACATTCCTGTTGAATGTACTCCTATCACTCTGTGTGATTGTTGGACAGATCCGATGTTCTGCTGAACTCGGCCCTGTGGTGCGCTGTTATGCTGCTCTCTCACACACTTGGCTCCATTCTCCCCATGTCCTCTCTTTTCACCCTCAGTACCTCAGCTCTATCTCCACCTCTACTTCCACGTTCTCTAATTTTCTTCCCATCTCAAAGCACAGCAGTACTCTTGCATATTGCATCCTCACATGCTTGTCTCCCCTCACTCTCTGACAGTCTCCTCCCCCATCTCCACCTCTATGCAGTAGCTCTGGTTCCTCAGGAAGCACTGCTTGCAGGAAGCTAAGGGCGTTGGACTTAACACTTTGCCTTTTTCCTCCTTTGACAGAAATCATAGTAAACTCTGCGCACACAACGACAGCTTTGGTATTTTTCTCTCTCAAATTGCTGCAGAGGATTGTGGGATAGTTTGCTTGCCATCTCCTTTTTTGTCGTCCCAGATGTAAATATGCATATTAAGCATGCTGCTTTTCTCTGCTTGTAGATTCTGATGCCTTAAGGTGTTGGCAAAAATGGAGAACGGATGTGATATCTTTTGTGTTAGAATCTGTAAAATACTGATTTTCTTTGTGTAGCCGATATTGAGATAATTTAGATAATGTTAAGGGCTGCAAGATACTTATCACGTTACATTTCACACAACTGATATTTGAGTCTGGCAAATTTGCGATTTCAGTTAATTGTCTCCTGAGTAGATGTTCTTCTGTTTCAAAAATGGTCCAGTAAAAAGTACATGCATCTTGTTTAGTTAATGCTGAGAGCACTAGGACTTTTTTACTGTGCACATTTATTTCTCTGATTTTGTTTTTTATAAATACACATGTCCCTAGATTCAACTAAGAAGCAAAAGTGTGGAGAGGTTTTTGAATCACGTGAGGGAGAAAGCAGGATTCTGCACAGCACGCATTTAAACGACTCACAAGCCATCTGCATCTTGTGTCATAATACTAGCACTGCTGTTCTCATATCCTTGTGAGAATTTAATTTGATGTCTTTGAATTATATACTAGGCTTTTGCATTGAATGGCCACTATCCTGTATTTTCTGCCCTATAGTGTGCACACAGTTGTCCCTGACTTTTCATCTGGGAGATCAAAGCCCTTTGCCCCAATGTGAGTAAATAATAACATACACAATAATAGTGCTTGGGTATTTTTAATGATGCTGCCCGTAATTGCAATTGGTGTTAATAGTAGTAGATCAAGTGTCCTCTGCTTCAGATAGATAGTTATGTGGCTTGTTGATTGTCAATGACAACTTGAGTGCCGTGATTTAAAATATACTTGCATAACCACAGACTGCAGCTGCCATTTCCCCACTCTGTGTGCTTTGCAGTAGTTTCCCACTGCTTTTATTCATGCACACCATGCTCTGTTGTTCAGACAGATCTTCAATAAAGCCAAAAGGAGAAATCTCAGAGGAGTGTTTTAGTGTGGCTCAAGCATGTCCAAAGTGAGAAGAGGGACACTGACAGTCAATTCTGGCAGAATACGAGGAAGGTCTGAAATGACTCCTTGTCAAGGTGACAGCGGTATCATGCATGGTGCACACAATTTCACTTGCAGCCATACTGTGTGATCTTTATGGTTGTGTAGGTCCGCATTGTAAACACGCATATGGTATTCTAAGGAAGACACATTTTGCATTGATAGAAAGTTTCACATCCCTGTGTGGAACTGGAGTGATGGTTTTGCAGCTGAATATGTGATTTAATATATGTGTGTAGAGACAATCTGTGCCAACCGGAGATATTTATTTAATGGCTACTTTTTCACTGGCTGAGAAATGTGTGGGTGAATGGATGGCCGCAGGCATTCAGAGTCAGTCGACGTGTTCTGTGGTGTTAGAGCATGTGCGGGTGTTTGTCGATAATGTACCATGTGTTGCTACTCCTCCATTTCCAATATTCAGAGGGATCTGTCTTTCACTGCAACCATGGCAACTGAAAATGACAAATGGCAGAACTGTGGAAATGCTCAGGTTGTGTGTGAGGCTGAATGAAAAAGCAAACCTTCTTCAAATCAAATCACAGGGCGAGTGAATAGGCTGCCTGGCCTTCAATAACTGTATAAGGCAATGCTTAAACACACTGCAACCCAAATATACCATACAATACAGTGATTTGGCTTTTTTCCGACATTTCGAAGTACATTGACAGGTTTTTTTTTGGGTGCCTTTCTTGTTTGCCAGTCTGCCTCCAAAGAGCGAGTGAGAGTGCTGCTCAGTAGACTGCTGCCAGCAGCAAGAGAAATTTGCTCTAGAGCAGGATCATTTGTGTGTCTAACTCCGTGAATAAAGTGTTTATTTTGACCAAAACCAGTTGGTGATTGTAGAAAGGCCTAACCAAGGTGTATTTGATTAGTTTTGTTTTTCGCTTGAGTTTTAATTAAGTGTGTTTTTACAATGGTCCGCCGCTTGCCCGGTTTTTGCCTCTGAGGATAGAGTGAGTGCTGCGACACACACTCACACGCATCAGCAAAAAACCTATTGCTGTTTGCTGATTGTTGGGTTCCAAATGTTAACATAGTCAAAACCTTATAGAAAGATTTATATATATATACAGTCTATTATACACTGCAGATCAGCTTCCTGCATTGGTACGAGTTTCTGTTATCCTGTTGTTTTTTTAATTGGATGCACAGGGCCATTAAGGAAGACATGCAGAAAATATTGATTGCTGTGAACTAGCTAAGTGAGACTAGCCCGAAACAGCTGTACAAGTGATGAAAGCCAATGTAATCAAGAAACAAGTCCATTTGAGAAAAACACGCTAAAGAATATTGTCTCTTATCTGGGTTGTTACTTTGGTATAGCAAGACCAAATGATGTGGTTGTCTTTAGCACTGTGTACAATAGGGCCACCCCCAATTAGTCGACTAAGCGCTAGTCGGCGAAATAAGTCTTTGTCGACTAATTTCTCATCAGTCTATTAGTCAAAGAAAAACTCTACAGTATGCGCGGCGTGTGCTTTGACGCCGTAGCCGGTAGACCTCTTACACTTCATTCAGAGCTGTGCGTGGTCATTACGTTAATATTGTAAGAAAGGAAAGTATGGCAAAAAGTCGCCTCCATATCTACGCCATCCGAGCACAGCTTCCTGAATGCCGGCTTCATTGCAAAACACGGAGCTTAATTATCCCAGACAACGCGTGTTCTTTTCTTATAATCAGAGGAAAACGGCAGCATTGAGTCAGGCAGTAGCCTAACCTTCTATCAACATATATATACCTATATTATTAAGGATGCACCGAATGGGAAATTCTTGGCCGAAACCGATACCGAAAATAGGAAACAGTTGGCCGAATGCCGAAAGGCCGAAATTGATTAATAGAAATATATATAATGTATACATTTTTTAACAATGTTGTTCAGCTACCTGATTATGGAAAAAGACATGATTATGGCAAAACTTAACTTAACTTAACTTAACTTAACTTAACTTAACTTAACTTAACTTAACTTAACTTAACTTAACTTAACTTAACTTAACTTAACTTAACTTAACTTAACTTAAAATCACTATTATGGGTCCATAAAACATTTATTCGGCACTTTTGAATGCATACAGTACATTAATTCCAAGTCAAGTGCATTTTCTTTTCTCTGTAGGATAACTACAACAAAGTGCATTCAGAACAAAGCCAAGGTGCTTTAAAACTACATAAACATCTAGGCCAGTAGGCCTACAACAAAATAGTGTAAATAAAGACTGTAACAGCCAGGCCTTCGACAACAACAAATGCACCTATAAGTTTGGTAACCTAACGTGTTGTTGTGATGATGTAATCAAAACGCGGCGACAAGCACGGCGCGCGACCATGCTCACGGCTGGCTCACAGCCACCATGTCTGCTGATTTGAGATATTTCAAAATATCAGAGAAAGAGGCGCGGATTGCGATTTGTAAAACGTTTTCAGCTGACATTTCTCGAGGGGGTGTAACTGCAAAGACTTTCACCACTTCGGGATTACTCCACCACTTGAAATCAAAACACCCGGACAAATATGCGGAGTATGATCAACGTAACCCTGTTCTCTGACATTCGGTGATATTTTTTCGGTGCTAAAACCCTTTCGGCCGAAAGGGCCTTTTTAACAATTTTCGGCCGGTAATTTTCGGTGGCCGAATATTCGGTGCATCCCTATATATTATATAGTAATTCTGACCTCAGATGATAAATTCAAGCTTTCATTTCATGATGAGTGCGGAAGTATTTTTGCCGGAGCGCATATTTGTCGGATTTTCCGTTTGCTGTATAGTATTTATTGGGTTGTTATATTCAGATATGAATAATAGAAACGAAAACTAAACGTTCAGTGTGTGTGCTCGCTGCTTTTTCGACACATATTAAGAATCCTTACCGGAGCTTCTGCTGTTTCTGCCGCTGATGGGTGGAAATGAGCTGTGCTTTGACTCATGGCCTTCTACGTGTACAAGTGAATTCATATTTCAAAGGTTCCATATTACAGTTTTATCTTATAGTCGATGTGAAGCAAAACGTACCATGCTAGGTGCTTTTACACCAGAGTACTTTTCCCAGGAATAGTTCCGATAGTTCCTGGGATTTTGCGTTCACTCTAAAAAGATCTGGAACTAGAACTTTTTCTTCGAACCTTTTCACCCCTTTCCTGGGGAGAAAAAGGTTCCAATTTCTGATTTTTTTTAATTTTTTTATCAGCCTTTGAAACTGAATCCATTTTGGGAGAAAAAGAACCATCATATAGCATATACGCCTGATTTGACGATTATTTGTCGACTAGAATAATCTTTAGTCGAGGGCAGCCCTAGTACACACAACAGAAAAATGTGGAGAGAAAAAAGACTGAGTATGTGTGCTTACCTGGAAATATATTATCATGGACCAAAGCTAACAGTTCTTTGACTTCTCATGGAGTTCAATAAAGGGCATCTTTCTGTAGAAGTAAGAATGCTTTTCTAGCCTGGTTTATCATTTTCCGTTACAGCTGTAGAGAAAAGAAATCAGCTGAGTAGCTGGGATGTGCCAATGCAGGGAGCGAAAAAGAGCTGCTGCTATTCTGCAGCATCAACCAGTGTCCATGCTTTAAAATGGGATAGTGGCAAATTCTGTTGAAGGGCAGCAAGTCCAACCCACGCCCGTCGACAGGTTTATTTAGAAAATAATAGGACAGGCTGTTTTGACGTGCATCCTACAGGCAAGTGACCTAACAAATACAGTATGTTTGAAGCCAGCAGTGTGGCAAGTTCGGTGTGTGAAACAGGCATATGTGACATCAACACCCCTCACTAAGAAAACCAGTTTGGTAGTTTTGTCTTCATTATATGAACAACTAGAGTATAAGTGCAACAACGATAAGTGTGAGTAGTTGTCCGAATGTGGATATGTGTTTTTTATAGTCATCTCTAAAACGCTAAAATACTATATACCGTTTTGGTAAGTGGTGGAACTGGTGTGTTTTGATGATTGGCTGCTGTTGTCATGTGGCAAATCCAGATCTGATTTGTCCTAACATCAGAATGTGCTCACTCGTCGACATTAATTACATCATACATCCACAGCCATGCTCCCTGTTTGGCCCCTCTGCTTTCTCATGTTTTGTCTATGCAGCAGTTCTGGCCCTTGTTGCTATAACAACACTGCTGCAAGGGGCTACCGGCTTACACTCAATGTATATAATCATAAGAATTTAAAGATCAGAATAGAAACAGTACATATAAATAAACAACTCTCAAACATGTTATAGACAAAAACAATAAAGGGTTGAATGATCAACAAACTATGATCAATGTGTGGTCCTGTAAGAAGACAGCATGTTATATTTCTTGAAAGATACATATTTTGTTAAAGAATAAATTAGTTGGCTGCTTTTAGTCTGTAATGAGTTACACTACTTTTGTATTACTTTTGAGTTACTTTCACCAAAATAACTGCAAAATAATGGCTAGGTATTTTAAATGCTAAAATGCAGTTTAGTGCAGCAACTGTGTAGGCCCTTAACGGCCCCTACACATGGCGGCGTGCGTTAACGCTTCTGCCCATTCACTTTGAACGGGGTGACGTCACGATTCGCCGAACTGCATTGTNGCTGCACGATATATCCTGTCGTGACGATAATCGCGATATGCGCATGCGCGATATTCACATCGCGTGGACGTTCGCTTTAAAAAAAATATATGAATCTTTAAAAGATTCATATATTTTTTTTAAAGCGAACGTCCACGCGATGTGAATATCGCGCATGCGCATATCGCGATTATCGTCACGACAGGATATATCGTGCAGCCCTAATGTGGATCTACCAGCTTTAACACAAAGGCCAAACACATAGCGGCCTGTAGCTTTAAGAA